AAAAACACAGCGGCCTAGCGTGAGGGGAAGCCCCGGCTTAGCGTGTGCTGAGGCCGGTATAGCGTGCGCTGAGGCGGGCTGGACTCCGCTTTGTCCACGGTGAAAGTTGATGAATTCCCTCAGCGACCAGCACAGATCAGCTCTAGGCATGACGAAGCGGATATCGTCCTCTTTTGGAAGACCAAACAAAGTAGTTTCGCTTTCACAACGAAGCACACAGCGTCTTCAGGACATGGCTGCAGCGCCAACAATACTACAGCGAGAATAAAAGTTACGCCTTCTTTCTTTGCGTGAACATTTGGGCGGCGTTATGCAAATCTTCCCACATAGTGACGTAAGTACGTGGGGGCATGTTAGAACGAGCCATTTTAGGTAGGCGTGGTTAACTCTTAACTTTTATAAAGAATATCTCTTTGGTTTTGAGACTTTAGTGTTTGCAACTTTACAGATCTTCTTTATGCACCAAGAGCTTGTAACACTCCAAAGAGAAAGGAAAAATTGAAATCGCATCATATGACCCCTTTACACCTAAATTTTGAAGGTATATAACAGATTTTTAAAAAGGTTTTGATAGAGGTCTGTTCACCAAAGCTGCATTTATTTCATTAAAAATACAGGAAAAATTTTATTATTTTAAAATATTATTACAATTTAGAATAACAGCTGGGAATGTTGGGGGTGGGGGTAAGTGTGTTCTATGTGTGTGTCTTCTATATATTTTTTTAGCTCTGCAGTGTCACTGTGTGTATTTGGAGGGGTATGTGATGTAGTTTCCAGGATCATTCATATCATTCATTTCCTAAAGTCATTTATAAATACAATTACTTAATGCTGACTGTAAAGGCCTAATCCCACTCATAAATCTCCACTTTAGGTTTATATCCTTATAAGTTATATAAGTTAAATGTCTCAACAGGACTGTCAGAGTGAGCTTAGTTCTGGGATTAAAGGAGAGTGATGAACTCACTTTGAAGACATTTTTGGCTGTGTGAATGAAGAGGAAAGCCAACTGTAGAAATCACTTTGTATTTGAAATGATAAATGAAATGAAATGATAATTTTTTTTTTAATGCTTTGCTCTTGTCTTCTGCAGGATTCAGTAACTGCTCTGGCCCTTGATCTGAATCATCCCGCACTGAGAAAGAACAAAAACATAGATTCCTTCTTAAACAGATGTAAGTCTCTTTGGAATTTCATAGATTATTAGATTTATTGTATGTGTATGGCTTATGACTTCTTATTGTCCGTAATTATAGAACTTTATGTCAGTAACTTGATGATAATAACTATAAAATGATAATAGATCATACTGTATATCGCTAAATTTTCATAGCAATATATGGATGCATCAATACACATCCAAACCCTACTGTCGGCCTTGTCAACAGATAATAGACACTTTGCAGTTAAAAATTGTTACTTTGAGTATATATTGTGTAAAATTAGTAAATATCATGTAAAAAAAAAAGAAATTAAGCAAGTGCATCATTATTGTAGTATATTGGCAATACCTATTAAAAACAGTCAGTCACATGGTGGCAGTATACACATTTTACACAGTATACAAAACAGTATACACATGGTGCATATATATATATATATATATATACAGTATCTCACAGAAGTGAGTACACCCCTCACATTTTTGTAAATATTTTATTATATCTTTTCATGTTTTCATGTTGAAGAAATGACACATTGCTACAATGTAAAGTAGTGAGTGTACAGCTTGTATAACAGTGTAAATTTGCTGTCCCCTCAAAATAACTCAACACACAGCCATTAATGTCTAAACCGCTGGCCACAAAAGTGAGTACACCCCTAAGTGAAAATATCCAAATTGGGCCCAAAGTGTCAATATTTTGTGTGGCCACCATTATTTTCCAGCACTGCCTTAACCCTCTTGGGCATGGAGTTCACCAGAGCTTCACAGGTTTACACTGTTATACAAGCTGTACACTCACTGCTTTACATTGTAGCAAAGTGTCATTTCTTCAGTTTTGTCACATGAAAAGATATAAAATATTTACAAAAATGTGAGGGGTGTACTCACTTCTGTGAGATACTGTATATATATATATATTTTTTTTTTAAATGGTTCCATTAAAAATGTGCATAAAATAACTGGAGAATTTTTGTGCCCTGATTAATTTTTTGAGCCTTGCATAATGTAAATGTGTTTGTTAATAATTAAATGATAAACTGTATTCATGTGATAACATGCATGGTGTGATCTCTCTAGATGAAAAAGCCGTGACTCGCCTCAAGGAACTACAGGTGAAGCTGGATGATTTTGACAGAGTCAAGCTGATTGGTCGTGGAGCGTTTGGTGCAGTGCAGCTGGTGAGTGAGTGTTTATGTGAGAGTCTGCCCATGTTATCTGCTGTTTGTCTTCAGGCATAGCCTTTTGTCTGTGTGTGTGTGTTAACGCCTGTGAGGCATGTATGCACATGTTCTGCCAGCTCCTACTTACCTGCAACAACACAGAGCATGCATGCTTTTGTCCTTGTGATATTGTCTTATTCTTTTAGTTTCACACTTGTCAGTCTTTATAAATAGTTAACTATGGTAGAGCATTATGTGATGCTTATGCATGCAGTGTGAAGATGAATGACTTCAATTATACGTTAAACACTTGTTTGCATAAAGCAACACATTGCAGAATTTGTGTAGTTTCATTAAGGATTTATATGGATGTTTATGATGTTAATGCACATATGTGCATGTAGGTACGACACAAAGCTTCCCAACAAGTGTATGCCATGAAGCAGCTCAGCAAGTTTGAGATGGTCAAGCGTTCTGACTCCGCCTTCTTCTGGGAGGAGCGTGACATCATGGCATTCTCCAAGAGTCCTTGGATAGTTCAGGTGGGATTCCTTCTCATATATAGATATGCCTGTGTGGTACTTTTTGTGATGTGTGTACTAGAGTATGTTTGAGAACTGGGAAACTCCAAAAGCTGAAAGGATAAAAAACAATAACAGAGTGTATATAAGGACACTGTTAAAATATTTAATAATCAATAAGTAAATAATCCCCTTTAGGGATGTCAAAATTGCCAGTACTTCAATACTAAGTTTATAATAAAATGTTAAAAATGCAAACCAAGTGCTGTCTGATTGACAGGCAGCTGTGTTTGAATGCTTGCACCTCACAGGATGCACCTGCACATGTTGTAGTACTATAACACGTCAGTTGACAGTCAGTTCTGTCCTAATGTAAATAGGCAAGACAAGAAATATCAGATCTGCTCATTAGACCTTGAAGCCTAACAGAATTGCTTATGTAAAGTTGTTTTGTTGATAATATTAAAGTGCCCCTATCATGGATTTTTGAAAATTACATTTCATGCATGTGTGTAATGTAGCTGTGTGTGAATGTAAACAGTCTGCATAGTTGTAAAGCTGAAAGTGCATCATAAATAAAGTTATCGTCGCTCAAAAGAAAGAGTCGACTCCAAACCGCTGAAACTAGTTGTTTTAAATTCGAATCCCATTCCACAAATTTCATACATTACAAATTCTTACATTTGCATAATGCCTGCCTACGTTCTGTATGGACATCCCGTGAAAAAAATTTCAAACGCTATTGCTCGTTTGTGTGGAAAATGTAATATACCATTATTGTTTGGGTCCTTACTACCAAGCTGTGGGTCCGGTTCGCTAAAATAAGTGTAAAAACCTTTTCCCCCTCTGATTCTTATTGTTTTAGAACAGAGTGGAGCACTATTATTATTATAAAAGGATGTATTATTGATGAGCCGTATTCCAGTACTGGTGATGGGCGCTCCTTTTCCGACATGCTCTGTATGCAGTAGACCAATCACAACAGACTGGGTCAACTGACCAGTCAGAGCAGAGTAGCCTCACAAGGAGAGGTTTGGATAGAGGAATCTTCGAACGAATCGTTTGAGAGGCATTGAGAAATAACGTACAATTAAATGTATATTATATAAAAATGAAAGTGTTTTTTGACCTATAAACCTATTTTTGGGGACTCCTAAAACTAAATTATAAACATTTCAAATAGCATAATAGTGGCACTTTAATCAACAAAATGTGTTCTTTATGATGGACTGTTATCTTAAATAATAATTAATTACTCTACTTGATTAATAATTAATTGATAAATACTTGAAGACAACATGTCCATTTTTTTAACTTTATATTTATAATATTTATTTTAATGTATAATAATTTGAATGTAATTTATTAAAAATATTAAATATAAGAATACATTATTACATAATAGCAATGTTTTTAAATCAACAATTATTATTAAATAAAGCACTGTTCAATAGCATATTTAATATAGCTGTGGTGTTGCAATTGGAATCAAGTATTGTGAAATTTCACTGTATTGGTATCAACTGCTGAAATGTTGGTATGTTGTGACACCTGTTCACCTCACTCTTTCTGTCAACATAGCTGTGCTGTGCATTCCAAGATGAGAAGTACCTTTATTTGGTGATGGAGTTCATGCCCGGTGGAGACCTGGTGACTCTTACCAGCAACTATGACATCCCAGAAGAGTGGGCTCAATTCTACACGGCAGAAGTGGTGCTGGCACTGGACGCCATCCATTCTCTGGGCTTCATCCACCGAGACATCAAACCAGACAACATGCTGCTTGACCGCAACGGACACCTTAAACTCGCTGACTTTGGAACATGCATGAAGATGGACTCGGTGTGTTTTGGGTTGTGTGATAAGTGCTTCTGATTTGTGTGTCTGTGTAATTGAGTGTATAGGAGAAAGACAGAAAGAATGAGTCTACATTTTAAATTGTATAGTATGCAAGATTACAATTAATTTGTCACAATTCATAGTGTATTGACTATTTTAAGACCAGAAACCTAGTTGAAACAATAATTTTTGCATGTACAGTAGGCTGCAGAAATCCCCTATGCTGTGATAATTGTCAGCGCTGCCTTCTTGTGGTTAGATCATATAGTGCAACCTGAATTATGATGATCTCTCAATAGATTTATAGGGTTTTTTTTTAAAGCTGAAATGTGCAATAGCTTATGTTCTAGCAACATTAGATTAACCAGTGTATAGAATGGTTATATTTATGTATATGCATCTGTATTTGTGTTTAGTCCCGTATGGTCCGCTGTGACACTGCTGTCGGGACTCCTGATTACATTTCACCAGAGGTTTTGATGTCACAAGGAGGAACAGGTTACTATGGCCGGGAGTGTGACTGGTGGTCTGTTGGCGTTTTCATTTATGAGCTGCTAGTGGGTGAGTAGCGCCAACTTCTGCATCCTTCAATCTCCTGTAATTGCATTTTACTGTTCTTACCATCCTATGTTCATTCTTCTGTCGATGTGGGCAGGTGACACACCGTTTTATGCCGAGTCCCTGGTGGGCACCTACGGAAAGATCATGGATCATAAAAACAGCTTAACTTTCCCAGATGATATCGAAATGTCAAAGAAGGCCAAAGACCTCATTTGTGCCTTTCTGTCTGACAGGTGAGAGAGAGAAACAGAGATTTAGAATCAGTAACCTCTTTTAAACATTAGTCCCCTACTATCCTGAGATGTGATGTCAAAAGCAGCATGGAAAAATATGAATTTATTTCTAGAGGTCACTCAGGTCAGCCAATAGCGATTTTGCCCATAATGTTAAATAAATTGTGACCATCAATAATATAAATAAAAATGTTTTCATTCAATTTGAAATAGTGCTTAATTTGATTGCAGAATAAACAACAATGGCTTAACCTTGAACATTTTTGTAATTAACTAAATTAAAAAATTGCTATACTTGATATTATTTTGTTTGTATCAGTTTTTATTAGTTTTATTGTCATATGAAATATACACTTCTGTTCAAAAGTATGGGGTCAATTTTCAGCATAGGCACCTTATATTGATCAAAAGTGACAATATTTATAGTGTCAATATTAAGTGACAAAGACATTTATAATAATGTTAAAATAAGTTGTTTTTTTACTTTTAATTTGTTAAAGAATCCCAAGGGGAAAAAATGTATTAGTTTCCACAAAAACATTAAGCAGCATAACGATTTTCAACATTGATAATAATATGAAATCAGCATATTAGAAATGATTCCTGAAGGATCATGTGACACTGAAGACTGGAGTAACGCCTGTGGAAAATGCAGCTTTCAGCTATATTCAAATAGAAAGCTATTCAAATATATTCAAATAGAAAAAATAAATAGTTTTGTTCACTGTATTGTACTGAATGATTGATGAAATAAATGCAGTCTTGAAGAGCATAAGATAAAAAATCTTATCGACCCCCAGTTTCTGAAATGGTATTGTACATAAACTTAAATCAACTAAAGCCTTTTTTAAAATGATTTACCTGTCTTCATCTCTTCATTTTATGCTTTTAATAGCCCTTCAAAAAAATCAGTCACTGGTAAAACATCAACTTCATGTTCTAATGCTTCTACTACATTTCTTTGTAATGCCTTGTCACTCTTTCAGCCTGATAACTTCCATCTGTTTTCCTATATCTCTCTTTTTCCTCTCTCTTTCTCCTCCCTCTCACATGCACACACATACGAGTATTCCAGATCAAATATCCAGAGAGGAGCTTTATGTTTTCATTTAAAAGCACAACACACACACACCCCTTCCTTTGCATTCTGGCTGCAGGAATGTCCCACACGTGGCAGTCCAAACTGCTGCACCCCTCTGATCCAGATGCAAGGAATGGGAGGGGAATGATCGTTCCTTATTTTTGGATGTTGCTGCGTGTGACGCTTTGGCTCCTCAACTCATCCACTCGCTGTTGGATGTTCCAGTCTCACACGCACAAACGTCACTTAACGGATTAGTAAGCGTGGTTGTGGTTCTCTGTTTGGTTTGCTGACCAGTGTTTTGCTATGTTCAGGGAGGTGAGGCTTGGCCGTTCTGGAGTGGATGAAATAAAATGTCACCCCTTCTTCAAGAACGATCAGTGGACCTTCGACACCATACGAGACAGTAAGCCTCCGTGTGTGAGTGTGGCTGATCTGTGATCATGATTGTGAAAGTCACATTTACTCATGATAATTATAGCCAATTAATTATCACTAATTATAACTATTAAGTCAATATTATTCAATTACTGTAACATTATGCATGTGCAGAATAATAACAGTATACAGTAGATATCTAGAGAATATACTGAAGTCTTGCATTGTTTCATATCTTGCGTCATTCATATATGATCAGATTATGGATATGGGGTTTTGGAGCACAGCTTTTAAATTTCCTGAAATTGCTGTTCATATTTTTCTCCAGACAAATGCAAACATTAATGTCACACTCTCATGTTATGCTTCTGAGAAAGCCATTTCAGTCATGCATACATAGTCTTGCATTTACTTTGTGCTGAAACCTTCTTTATTGTGGTTTCTACTCACTGACTGTTTTATTGATATATAATTACAACTGATATAACTGACCTGTTTAGATGTGTTTGTCTGGTTAATCATAATATATCTTGACTTAATTGATGTATATTTCTCCATGAAGCATAATTATGGGATGTGATAAAAGAGCAATGTGTGATGTTACAGCAACATAATTTTTTTGCTGCTTTGTCATCAGTATTTTCTTTTCTTTTTTTTCTTAGTTTTGTTTTGTTCAGTAACATTGCTCTCTGCTGTGTTGTGCAGTGTGGAGGAGTGATGTGCTCCTGCTAAGGAGTGTGGTGTTTGGGACAGGGTTACGGGGGTATGGGGTTGGCTTCAGTAAGGGCGGAACCCAACATGTGGCCCGTACACAGTTACTAATGAGAGAAGAGCTTCAAAACCACAGGACCTGTTTAGATGTGTTTGTCTGGTTAATCATAATATATCTTGACTTAATTGATGTATATTTCTCCATGAAGCATAATTATGGGATGTGATAAAAGAGCAATGTGTGATGTTACAGCAACATAATTTTTTTGCTGCTTTGTCATCAGTATTTTCTTTTCTTTTTTTTCTTAGTTTTGTTCAGTAACATTGCTCTCTGCTGTGTTGTGCAGTGTGGAGGAGTGATGTGCTCCTGCTAAGGAGTGTGGTGTTTGGGACAGGGTTACGGGGGTATGGGGTTGGCTTCAGTAAGGGCGGAACCCAACATGTGGCCCGTACACAGTTACTAATGAGAGAAGAGCTTCAAAACCACAGAATTGGACTCGTTTTCTCCTCCTCTCTCTGTCCCTTGCTCCAGTGATGCCCAAATGCACATACTGTATTTGCTTTCTCTCTGCCTCCACAGTAGTCTGTTATTAGCAGTGCTATCAAGGAGCATTCTGGGAAACTAAGCAACATCATCCATATATCTGTATAGTGTGGTGTTATACAGCAGACTGTGTTTTTGCAAAGAAACGGATTAGATTTTCTTTCCAAGAGTGTTTTTCTTGCACACACGTTGACATGCTTTATCTTTTTTTTTTAGCTATATCTGTGATAAGTTTAATAGATGTTTATGTCTGACTAAATTGGTTTTACAGTATATTGAAATAAATATGGATGTTTGGAAATATGGAAAAAAGTATGGATGTGTGATCCAGAGAAGCGCAACTCTATACTACCTTGTAAATGCATTTCCTCATTGAGATTTTTTTATAGATCAGAGTTCTTATTGACATTACTGCAGTTATTTATTCATTTATTTGGAATTACTTGTATTAATAGATTTATAATTGTGTTTATTCATTAAAAACAGACAACTGACTCTTAATAATGATGATAAACTAGACTTTAAAGATCAAGATATTAAAAGATAAAGATAATGATTTGCTTAATTTGAGTGTGTAGGAGTGCCAAATGGATAAATATAAAAATTCATAAAGTAACCAACCCATATAGTAACCTAAGAGATGTTTTTAAATCTCTTTGTGTTTGTCTTTGGAATTAATTAAATGAATGCAGTTTTTTTTTCAATGTTTGGATATAATGTGGATTATAGAGGAATACGGTTCCAAACGTTTATTTATTTTTTCTCGTATGTATTTATACACTCTAAAAAATGCTGCGTTGTTTTAACCCAACGTTGGGTCAAATATGGACTAACCCAACTTTTGGGTTAAAAATGTAATTGAAAAATTTAACCCAACAGTTGGGTTAGTCCATATTTGACCCAAAGTTGGGTTAAAACAACCCAACATTTTTTAGAGTGTATCTTCCTCTAATTCAAAAACTAAATTTAAAGCACAAAGATCCAGCCATCTCTGTCGGTTTTCTTTTGGCTGTGGAGAGTTTGAATCCAGCCTGTCCCCAATAGATGTTTGTCACATGTTCTCCCAGTGTTCTCAGCACGTTCGCTCCAGAAGCAGGGAGTGTTTTGGATGTGTAAGTGAGCATGAGTGTGTGTGCACAGTAGGTAGTGAGTAAGCACCGGCAAGCTTGGAAAGTCATACATGCCACTCCTCCCTTCAGTACAGTGTCTGCTTTGTGTGCTACACACACTGAGCCTTTCACTGTGAGCCTCTCTCTCACACACACAAGCACTCAAACAGGACACACTATTTTTGCTCAAATCTTTTACAATATTCTCTCAACCCCCTCCTCTCTCGCTCTCTCTCTCTCTGCCTCTCTCTGTCTCTCAGCCATGGCTCCAGTGGTGCCGAAGCTGAGTAGTGATATTGACACCAGTAACTTTGATGATGATATAAAGGATGATCCGTTAGGAACCGAGACCTTCCCCCCTCCCCGTGCCTTCGCAGGGAATCAACTACCGTTTGTGGGCTTCACCTATTTCAGGGAGGACCAGTAAGTGTGAAAATGTGTGCGTTTTGTATTTTATTTGTGACAAGATGGATTCTGACAATGGAACTGTGGCTATTGAAATGTTGTATTATAATGTCAAATATTGTAACATTTTATTACAAACATTTGAAATTTTGTCTGACATAATGGTTTGTTGCATAATATGGCAATGCAATATAACTGAAAAAGGATTCAAAAAGTCCCAACAGAGTTCCCACATCTTTTCGCCAATGAATTTCCATAATTTTTCCAGGCGTTCATGATTACGCAATAAAGATTGTAAGAGTTTTGCACTCCCAAATAACAGTTTCTAGCATATGAAATATTTTTGACCTGAGCATAACTAGAAAATTATAAAAAACAACAAAAAAAGCCATGACTTTTTTTATTATGCCAGTATGGATATCACTTTTTTTAAAGAGTTTATATGACTGTAAAAAGATGTTTTACATTTTAAATTGGTTGTAAATGAATATCTACAGTAGATATAAATATCAAAAATGGTGAAATCTGAGACAGAAATAGTTTAAAGCCCACCTTTCAGACACTGTAGCGCTGTTTGACTTTTACACGGGTATCTTGTTCTCTTCCACAAATGCTCACTCACAGATGAACACTAAACGACAGCAAGTAAAAGCAAGCTGTAAAACGACAGCAAGCTCCTGTTATGGATTGATAGAGACAGGATGTACAGTATTTTTGCATGATTATGGTAACCGTGAATGAGTGCTGTATTTGTTCCATCACAATTCCCTCCTTTTTCCCTTTCCTTTCACTGTTTCCTCCCTCGCTTTCTCAGTTTCTCCAGTGTGGCTGAGTGAAGCCACATGGGCCGCTGGCTGAGTTGAGGAGATTGAATAGTTGCTTTGAGATTTTCTTTTTTTTTCCATTTCCTCTCTCCTTCTTGTTCCCTCTCTCTCTTTCTAACGTATTCTCCAAACTGTCTTTTTCATCTTGAATTGATTTATGAAATCTCAAAGTGTGTTGCTGCAGAGTAAACAAGGACGAAGCTAGCAGAGAAGAGTGGAACGTTTACCGTGATGCTCTTTCTGTCTCTCTTTCAGATTGTTAAACCAAAACAATAAGTGTTCAGAAGAGGACTCTAGTGCTGAGAGTGTCAATGAGGATCATAACTTAAACCAAGCCGAGGTGCATATTTTTTTAAATAATATTACTGACTTTTATCATATTATTGATTAATGTTAAATGATAAACACTATAATATGAGTTGAACATATTTCTGGTTTTATGTTGATGGAGTATTTGAGCCTTACTGATAGAGCTGTTAGCATACATAAGGCAAAACGTTTGGGGAATATTGCCCTATAATAGTGGGTGGCACAAAATTAGCACTTAGATTTCTAAAACCGATGCTTATATGACTTTTTTTGTGCCGTTACTCAACATAATTGGAGTGTTTCTCCACATTCTTTAGATAATTGCGGCTTTTAATAGAATGGAAAAACAACTTCGCGTCAGTTTTTTGTTGACTTTTCAAATGTGTTATGTGCATGTCCCTAGTCCTGTGACCTGCAGAGGAGGCTGAAAAAGTTGGAAGAAAAAGTCAAACATGAGATTCAAGCAAAGGAGGAACTGGAAAATAAATGCAGGTACAAATACTCATTAACATACAATGGGATCCAAATGTCTTTTGGATCCAAATAAGAACATACTTCTTTATGTAATACAACTTTTTAAAAAGGATGTTACCAGCATAACAATTTAAATGGAAAGATGAATTGAAAATCAGAAATATTGCAGAATCATTAATATTTCAATTTCATGTTGTCACAATGTTAATTTTGTTTAATTATTCTTTAAAAAAATTAAATTACATATTTGCGACCCCTGAATTTTGGATCCCACTGTATATAAACACGCGCGCACACACACGCACGTGTCTGTATGAAGGATAATGGATGTTTAAAGCCAGAATTCTATTAAGTCTAAAATTCATTACATTATATATCTTAACTTACAATAAATTTAAACTGTGTTGTGTCTCAACAGAACAGCAAATCAGCGGCTGGAGAAGTTGTCCAAAGAGCTTGAAGAAGAAGTAAGACACAGGTTTAAATTGCGCTCACCCAACAAAGGCCATTAATTCAAAACTGTTCAGAAACAAAGTGCAGCTTTCTTCAAGCTCCTCTAGCTGTTTCTCTCTTGTTATAGGTGAATGCGAGACAGGCGGTGGAAGACTCTCTGAGGGAACTGGAGAGAGAGAAGGCTTTATTGACGCACCAGCGTTCTCAGAGCATAAGAAAGGCTGGACTAGAAACAGACAGAAAGCGTCTGCTTGAGAATGAGGGTGAGAACAGCAGATAGAAACACGCCATTATGACTCTCAACAATGACATTTAATTCTGATTAATTTGAACAGCGAATAAACTGAGTATTTACTAGGAGTTGGAAAAAAATCTATTCACTAATAATACATTGATATTAGTCTACAAAAAAAGTTTACGGTCTACAAAAAATTATGATCATAATTTGCTTTATACCTGGTAGATCATTCCATTTTAGCCTTCAGTATTACTCAACATTCTTTGAATTACATGAGCTTTTCAATGATATATATGCTGCTTCAGATGCAGCTTCTGTGCCATTTTTTTGTTTGTTAAATAGTTACTTTTTTTATTAATATTGAATCTTTTACTGATATTCTTGATTCCCCAAAGCACTGGCCCAAAATTTCTACCCGATTTTCTCAGTACTAACCTTCTCCCATCTAGAAAGTATTAGTTCTGCTCTGCTGATGTTGTAATGTTAACATATTTTGCATTTCTCTCTGCTGCAGTGAGCAGCCTGAAAGAGCAGCTAGCTGAACTGAAGAAGAAGAACCAGAACTCTCAAATCTCTGCTGAGAAGAACATTCACCTGGAAAGACAGGTGGGTCCCTGAGCAAAACTTTATCTGACCATTAACCTCAGAACAATAATTATTATTTAACAAATAGACAAATTAATTTTAAAAAGTAAAAAAAAAAAGCAAAGGTAATAGTAATTAAAACAAGAATAAAAAAGGTATAGGAATTAAACCTAACCTGCTAAGGTCTGTGCTTAATGCGAAAGTGTGTCATTTTTCAATTTTAAAATACTTTCTCCTATCACAGCTAAAATATTTTCATATTTTGAAAAGAAAAGAAAAGAGAGAGAAAAAAACTATATATATATCTATATGTGTTTTTTAATAAAAAATAAAATTATAAATATTTGAGGTTGGTTATAATAAATGAAGAAATCCCCCAATGGAACAAAATACTGTTATATTCAAGCCTGCTTATATTCTTATGCATTTCTGAAGCCCTAAAATCACTTTAGCTTATACTACCGAACAAAAGTTTGGGGTCAGTAAGTTATTTATTTTAAAAGAAATCAAGAATTTTATTTTAAAAATATTTCTATTTCAAATAAATCCTGTTCTTTCAAACTTTCTTTTCATCAAAGAATCCCGGAAATAAATGCAGCCTTGAAGAGCATAAAAGACTTCTTTCTAAAACATAAAAAAAAAAAAATCTTACTCACCACAAACTTTTGGACAGTTGCATAAATTTGGTTTTGTTTTAGGGATAGAATTAAAAGAACAAAAGAGATTCTGATAATGAATGTGTTTTTAGTTGGAGGAGATGAATGCTAAGCTTCAGGCTGAGGTGGAGGAGTCCGAGCGGCTGAAGAAGGCCCAGGGCGAGGCGTTGAGACAGTCCCAGCAGCTGGATATCTCTCTCAGGGAGTTTCAGGAGCGTCTGGCCCAGCTGGAGAGCAGCCGGCAGGGTCTGGAACAGGAGAAACTGAGCCTGCAAACCTCACTGCAGGTGGAGAAGCGAGAGAGAAGCCTCGGCTCAGAGACTATCAATGACCTACAAGGTAAGTGCATGTGTGTCTATGCCTGTTTATGTTCATTAGACAGATGTAGCTGTGAATTAGCATCTACCGAGCTTCCTTGAAAGAGATTGTGTTACATTCTAGGGATCACACTTATGTGCAGGTCTATGTGAGTGAGTGAAAGCAAACGTTTATGTTTGAGTGTGTAGTGGTGGTGTGCTCCTCGCTGAAAGACACACTGGGCAGTGTTGTTGTGTTGTTGTGTTGTGGTGGAGCTGCCCGCAGCGAGTTTAAATATGAATAGTGTTATTTTAAGGTCCGAGGCAGGTAGCTGATGTTATGTCGCTGAACAGAGAAAAACAAGCAAACAAGAAATATCTCTTCTGTGTCGTGTTTTCAGTTTTGTCTATTAAATTTAAAGGATTTGTTTCTGCAGGTGCTTTTATCTCCTGAGAGATTATTATTATTTCATTTAAGTGAACAGATTTGAACTACTTTAAAACTCATCATGCCTTCATTTATTTTTGCTACTTTCATGTGCCTTTTATGTGAAGCTTTTGATATTTACCCCAGACTAAAGGCCTGTTCACACCAAGGACGATAACGATACATTTCTCAACATTAAAGAGTCCACACCACAGCTATAATGATAAAGGCACAGAGAAACGATATCGTTGGAATCACTTTCAGAACGATTTTTTCTAGCTGATGAACAATAAAAACATTGTCAGCCAGTCAGAATCAATCTTGCTATAACGAGCTTGAGAATTTAAAGCGGCAGACGAGCGTGCACTTGGAATAAACGGACGATATCGTCTGCTGGTGTGGACGCTAATATAGTTATCTTTATAGTTATCGTTCTTGGTGTGAACAGGCCTTAAGACTTTAGTCTTAAAATATGAAAATTCCAAGCTAAACTAAAATAAATAAACAAAACCATGAAATAAACAAACCATAAACCACAAAATATTTATTGCGTGCAAATAATTTATATCCATTTTTTTAATTATTCTAAATTTTTTTCTCAAATTACAACTGTACCTCATTCTTTTCCACCATGACAAATGATTTTGCCACAAGTTTTATCAAAAATTCTTTTAGGATTATGTTTGAGATGAAGTATGTAATACATATGATTATGTCGCTGAACAGAGAAAAACAGGCAAACAAGAAATATCTCTTCTGTGTCGTGTTTTCAGTTTTGTCTATTAAATTTAAAGGATTTGTTTCTGTAGGTGCTTTTATCTCCTGAGAGATTATTATTATTTCATTTAAGTGAACAGATTTGAACTGCTTTAAAACTCATCATGCCTTCATTTATTTTTGCTACTTTCATGTGCCTTTTATGTGAAGCTTTTGATATTTACCCCAGACTAAAGGCCTGTTCACACCAAGGACGATAACGATACATTTCTCAACATTAAAGAGTCCACACCACAGCTATAACGATAAAGGCACAGAGAAACGATATCGTTGGAATCACTTTCAGAACGATTTTTTCTAGCTGATGAACAATAAAAACATTGTCAGCCAGTCAGAATCAATCTTGCTATAACGAGCTTGAGAATTTAAAGCGGCAGACGAGCGTGCACTTGGAATAAACGGACGATATCGTCTGCTGGTGTGGACGCTAATATAGTTATCTTTATAGTTATCGTTCTTGGTGTGAACAGGCCTTAAGACTTTAGTCTTAAAATATGAAAATTCCAAGCTAAACTAAAATAAATAAACAAAACCATGAAATAAACAAACCATAAACCACAAAATATTTATTGTGTGCAAATAATTTATATCCATTTTTTAAATTATTCTAAATTTTTTTCTCAAATTACAACTGTACCTCATTCTTTTCCACCATGACAAATGATTTTGCCACAAGTTTTATCAAAAATTCTTTTAGGATTATGTTTGAGATGAAGTATGTAATACATATGAAGAAAACAAAGAAAAGTCAAGGTCATTTGTCATGTTATTTTAAAAGTCAAATAAATTAATAATACAGTACAAAATATTGTATTAATTTTAAGTAAATTGTATCAATTTTTATTCTGACAATACCTAAAATATAATTGTCACCACAAAATAATAACAATAAAAACATTTGAAATGAAAATTATTCGTTTCAAAAAAATGTTAGGAATAGACAAAGTAAAAAAATAAGAAATAACTACCAAGAGTTTAAAGTGTTTTATGAGAATTTATGTTCTTAAGGTCCACAGGGTCAAAAGTGCCTGTAGAAGAAACACCCATTTATGGTTTTTATGGTTTGAAGTTTAACATTTAATATTGACTTGAATTCCTGACCTTTGACTTCAACTTCGGTCTTGTGTTTTTACCTGCTTGTCTTTCTTGCGATTTCATTTTTATTTCTATCTTTCTTTCATTTTCAGGCCGTGTCTCTGGACTGGAAGACGAGTTAAAGCACATAAAGAGTTCTTTATCAAAGGCTGAAGCAGAGAAAAGACAGTTACAGGAGGATCTCACTGCCCTGGAAAAGGTGTGTGTGTGTGTGTGTGTTTTAGCAAGAGACTGAATGATTCTCAGCACATGATGTGTGTGGTTATGTCTATTTTTGTGAAAAAACCCTATTAATGTTGTCCCCTTCACTCATAGGAGAAGAGCAAGCAGGAGATCGATCTCTTCTTTAAACTCAAAGCCATTCAGCAGAGTCTGGAGCAGGAGGAGGCAGAGCTTAAAGCCACTAAAGCCAGATTGGCCGACAACAACAAAATCAACCAATCCGTCGAGGAGGCCAAGTCTGAGGACCTGAAAAGTAAAATGACTCGGCTGACTCTAATTTAAAAACTCTAAAAACATGTATACGTGTACAAATTTCACTACAAATAAAAATAAAATAAAATAGGGAAGTGCAGTTTAGAGTGAGGGGGAAAAAATGGTTACCTAAGGTACCCATTCATTTACTCTGGGGAAAGTGCCCAATTTCCTCTCTTAAAACAAACCTGGAATACATATAAAACAGTTGTTCAAAAGAAATTCGAGACATAATTTGGACTCACAACAAAAAACTTGAGCATTTAATCTTTGCTAGGTCATCAGATACTTGCCTGGCAAGATTTACATGATTCTTTTGGAAGTGCCTTAAAATTAGCCCTGTATGAAAACAAAATATTTTCCTCATTCCAAAATGACTTTTCCATTTTTTGTGTTCTAGCTGAGTAAATCTTTCCAAAGTATGTAGTACAAGCCTTTGGCTCATTCAGAGTTTGGTTATGCTGTGTGTGTTTGTGTGACAGATATGGAACATAAACTGCTGGAAGACCGATCAGCGAAGCAACAGTTGGAAAACAGACTGATGCAGTTGGAGAAGGAAAACTCAGTATTAGACTGTGACTACAAGCAAGCCAAACATGAGCTTCAGGAGCTCCGCTCACTCAAAGAAAAACTCACTGGCGAGGTACACCTATCTGACTGTTCTTCTTGCCTGACTGTAGCTGTCTATCTGTCTGATGTCTGAATTTTAATTGTTTAATTAAATTGTTTTAATTGTCACACTTTATGCTTTGTAATATGTTTTATATTTGCTCATATTTTCAGCACTTCAGCGTTATTTTTGGAACATATTTCTGGACAAAACTTAATTAATAAAAAAAAAATGGAAACATATTACTCACAATTAAAAATGAAAGGCATTTTAAAATTACATATATGCATCACATGGTCTGTGGAGAGTCCAATAAATAAAATCCAGCCGTGTGTGTGTGTGTGTGTGTGTGTGTGTGTGTGACAGATGGAGGTGCTGAGTGTGCGTGTGCAGCAGGAGACTCAGAAGAAGACTCTGTTTCAGGCAGATCTCAGTGTACAGAGGCAGGAGATCAGCACCCTGCGCTCCTAAAAAAAAAATGGAAACATATTACTCACAATTAAAAATGAAAGGCATTTTAAAATTACATATATGCATCACATGGTCTGTGGAGAGTCCAATAAATAAAATCCAGCCGTGTGTGTGTGTGTGTGTGACAGATGGAGGTGCTGAGTGTGCGTGTGCAGCAGGAGACTCAGAAGAAGACTCTGTTTCAGGCAGATCTCAGTGTACAGAGGCAGGAGATCAGCACCCTGCGCTCCTCTGAGAAACAGTTCAAACAAGAGCTCAACCATCTGCTGGAGCTCAAACTCAGCCTGGAGAAACAAAATCAGGAACTACGCAGGTGAGTTAGGGTTGCTGATGGATGATATGTACTGTATATTCCAATGATGTTGTTCTTCTGTGTCATTGTACAGTAGTTGTGGAATGCCACTATTCTCATAGAATTAGAATGATTAATAAAACTTATAGTTATCGCTCTTTAACTCACAAAATAAGTCTCTTTTCTCTGTTTCCAATCAGGGAGAGAGAAGAAGCTGACAAACAGCTGAAAGAGCTGAAGGACCAGTTGGAGGCAGAGCAGTACTTCACAGTATGTCTGACAGGCTTTAACATATTTTGTCAGTGAATGTGTGGAGGGATGTAGTTGGGTTGGTTTGTGTATCTGTGTCCTCATATTTGTTTTGAAATAAAAAGTTTTTCCTTGATTTCAGAAACTTTATAAAACTCAAATTAGAGAGCTGAAGGAGGACAGTGATGAAAAGGCTAAACTCTACAAAGATGCTCTGCAGAGAATAGAGGACCTGCAGGAAGAGAGGTGTGTATTTGCACACAAGTATTTGCTATTGAAACAGGATGGCGGGACATATGAAAATGACTCAGCTTGTTTTTTTAACTACAACTTTTTTTGTTTGACACAATCACCTGTAATCATGATCCACCAGATAGATACATCTGCACAGAACTCATGTAAGGACCTAAACAATGTTTCTCAACAAATAACCGCTAGAGGGCCAAAAGTTGCAAAATGTAGCTTTATGATTGAAAAATGTAAAATTGGAGTTTCTTGGCTTTTGGTCCTTGTATTTTGGCTTTGAAGCCATCTATATGCTAGTGTATTCCACATCACAGACAGCGTGCCTCCTAATGGAACATCACAGTTGAGCGATATAGGCACAGCTTTTTCCCAGTAAGGAGAAAGAGCAATATGCATTTTGCACAAGGCTAGATGAAAAGTGAGGTAAATAGATATTAGTATAGTTAGTTAAAGATGAAGGAACAGATAATAAGTTGTATGCATGGATCTCTTACAGTACACTGAATTCCTGTTCATATACAAACTGGTTTGTGAATGTTTATATAGGGACTCATTAGCAACCCAGCTAGAGGTGAGCCTGACAAAGGCAGATGCCGAAGAGTTGGCGCGCTCCATCGCTGAGGAGCAATACTCAGACCTGGAGAAAGAAAAGATCATGAAGGAGCTGGAGATCAAAGACGTGATTGCCAGACACCGGCAGGAACTAAGCGAAAAGGACAGTACCATCAGCTCGGTGAGAATTAGAGCGAGTATAAGAATGTATTTATTTATTAATTATTCATATATAATAAATATTAATTAATCTGTGCTCACAACATAAACATTCATTTATATGAATTAATTAAAATGTTTAATCTTTTGTGTTATACCAGCTGGAGGAATCGAACCGCACACTGACTGTGGATGTTGGCAACCTGGCTAATGAGAAAGAAGAGCTCAACAATCAGCTCAAACACCTACAGCATAGTGAGTAGGCTGCTGAATGCCACTTAATAATAATATAATAATATGAATGGATTGATGTTATAATGTTCATATATATGTGCTGTAACATTTATAAATGTGTATACACAGAGCTAGATAAGTCCAGAGAAAAAGAAAAACAGATGAAATCTTTGATCCTGTCCTTTGAGAAGCAGATAGAGTCTGAGAGAACCCTCAAGAGTCAGGTGTGTTTGGCTTATTTTAACCAAGAGTTTATAACTACAGTGTACATGTTACACCATTGTTCTGATAGCTTAAATATCAGCATGTCTCAGGTAAATCTGATCAAATTTTTTATTGTAGGCTATAAACAAACTGGCTGAGGTTATGAAGAAGACAGATGTCAGGCCGCAGCAAGGCAACAACACTGACATCCGCAGGAAGGAGAAGGAGAACAGACAACTGCAGTTGCAGCTCCGCACTGAGAAAGAAAAACTCAACAGCACCATCATTAAATACCAGAAAGAAATCAATGAAATGCAGGCTGTGAGTGGCATTACATATATTTAAAAGAAATGTAACCACCAGAAAACCTAGCCACCTTTCTGCATACATATGTAAAGCACACATAAAGTGTTGTTCTGTTTGCAGACGTTGGCAGAGGAGTCTCAGGGGCGACTGGAGATGCAGATGGCCCTGGACAGTAAAGACAGTGATATTGAGCGTCTGCGCTGTCAGCTCACTTCTCTCAGCATTCATTCTCTGGACACCACTAGCATCAGCAGCACCGGCAACGACCTGGAGGGTGATGACGCTTATCCAGGTATCTATCTATCTATCTATCTATCTATCTATTTTGTATAGACTACTTACAGTAATTTGATGTTTTTTGTACATTTTTGGAGCTTGGAAGTTGGAGTCACTTTGGGAATAAAGTGTCATAAATTCTTAAAAATTCTATATTTGTTTTCTATGAGGAAAAATAAATTACAGACAGGTTTGGAGCAAAATGAAAGTGAATACATTTTGGGTGAACTTCTGCTTCAATCAAAGTAAATGTAGATGCTCCAGGTCATGGTGCTGTCATATGTTAACCTGGCACAATAAGTTAGATTTGGCTGTGAAGTTTCACAGTTTCTCAGTAGCTTACATTATATTGCTAACCTTTTATAGCCCTGGCCCCATGCTCCGTATCATTCTTCATTGACCTGTACACCTTTGACCTTTCACCTTCCCCACTTGTGCTTATGTGTGGAGAGTAAGTACATTGCATCGCTGCTTATCACACAGGTTTTCTGCTTGCATGTGCTGCCCTGAAACATCACGTTTGGCTGTCTGTTCTGTTCTCTGTATGCATCTAAAACAGCACAGATCTTCTTTGCTTGAGAGTAAATACTAAAAAAAACACCCACTAACAATGCAATCTCTCTCTTCTCTCTTTTAATTCCATAATATTGACATCTATTTCTAACTGAGCTGTCACTTTTTCAACACAGTATCTGATTAAATCCGATCAGACTGTTCCAATAAGAAAAAAGTGAATATGAATGAATGAATAGCTGCCAAAAAAAGCCATGGTAAAATCTGATTTTATAGTATAGCTAACTGCAAATACAGAGCTGCATCTGTCATTATCACATCTTTTTAAAACTTAAAGAAAAACCTTATTGCATTTATTTTGCATTGCATTTATCTGTATACTTTCAGTTAAGCGTGGGTGGCCATAATTTTTTATGTTGACTTTGAGGCCGAATGACTCCTCTTTATTCCAGATTGCTTGAGTTGGGCCTGAAGGACTGGGGTTGGTCTCTTGATGTTGAAATGGATGATGACGATGTATTAGACTTCTGAGGAGTTGAGTTTTGTGGGGTAACCACAGTGGTGCCTTAGCATGTATTTGTGTCTGTGTTTATGCTTTGGCTTTAAAGGTGTTTTTTGAAGTTTGGCATTAAAAAGCGCGTTTTGTTCTCACTGTTAGGTACTATAACTAGGGCAGGTTTTGATATTAATATTGTGTTTGATGCACTAATATGAGTGTGCATGCATGTGTGTGTAAATGTTTGGCTGAATTAAAATATGTCTGGCTTAGTTTGATCGAATAAGTTGGATCTGAAAACTGATGGTGTGGTGGTGATGCTGTTGTGTGCGGTTGGATATAGAATGGGATGTGAAATGACTGCCATATTTGAGTTTTGCATTTTTTTTTGGTCATTGACCTGAACCCTCTCTCCTCTCTTTTAATTTCAGTTAACCTAAGTTGGATAGGTGATAATCCATCTGGAAGCAATGAAAGCGGAGAATGTCATAGTGTTCTTTTTGGCAAATGGCAGGACTTCCAAGTGCCAAACTCCACAAGTATAAATGACTGGGGAAAGGGGGGGTGGGGTCTAATATTTAACACTGAACATGCCATAAATCATCTAAAGGGTGTAGTTTCCATTTTAAGTCGTTTTAAGGGTGTTTTATGTCTTCCTAGACTGTACAATTCTTCAAAAACTAAATTAAAGTAAAAGCATTTTAAACTTCGGAAGTTATTTTTGGTTTCCTTGCAAGGTTGTCAGATGTGACTGTTTGCCTGAGTGTGTTTGAAACAGAATATATACTTCAGCTCTGCAATTACATGATCATCTGAATTTATATACTCAAGTATTCTATTTTTGTTAGGAAAAACAGATAAATATTTAGTGACAGATTATATTTTTATCATGCATTATATCAAAGCACACTTTTGAAAAATGCTTTTCAAAGAGCATTACTTAGTTGTTTGCCAGAACTATCTGCTCAAAATATATGCATTATTGAAGACTGATATTACATGATGCAAGGATGCAATCCGTAGCACATTTGAGCATTTTATTAATTGCTGTGACAAAAATTAGATACAACCTGTATCCATAGTGGAACATGAAGACCTCCGGTCCAAACATTTTCTGTATTTGATCATTTTGCCACTGACAACTGTTGAAACATTGTGAAATTGTTAATAAAAAAGATTTATTTGATGGAAGACCTATGACTCGTGTGATGATGGGTAACTAAAATGTTGAAATATTAGATGATATTCACTGAGGCACTGTAAAAATTAAGAAAAAGTGTGAAAATATTATTTTATGTAATAAGATATGTTGCCATTGTCATTTACAAAGAGTTAAAGAAGCATGCTTTTTGGTGGTTGTAAATGATTCACAAGAATTGATTAATATAATCCAATGTTGCATAAGCATTTAAACCAAATGTTGACCTGGAAAATCCTTGATTGCATGTTTACCCATGTAATATGTGATTTAGGTTATAAAAGCAGAATCGGCTCTGCATGAAAAATTAGTTCAAGACTAGACAGTGTATTCTTATTTCTGTAATAAATATGTACAGCTATTATTTCCTAACACTTGCACTGCTACACAGCTGCTTTGCTTATGTGCAGAATGTTTCACACCCAGGAAAATGCAGACTTGTCTTCTGATCCGATGAGGTCAGTGTCATTTGTGTCTCTGTTAACTTCAAACAGTTAACCAGCAAGGCCTTCCCGGGTAACACTACAGGCCTCAATTTAAGCTCCATAACATCTGATAACCTGAGGATCTTGTCCCATCTGAGGTGACTCCGTCTGATCAGAAACCAACTGCGTCCATTACCTGTGGACCTGCTTTTGGGCCTGTCTAATCTTCATGTGCTTGACCTTACAGGTAGTGTTTGTGTGTGTGTGTTTACTTAACTAAAATTAGTTACAGTCCTCAAATTGAATCGACCTCTGTGTTTCCGCATCCCATAGAGACGGTCAGTCTGTCTGTGACTTTTCATCAGTAGTAGGGACTCTTTCTGAAGGTTACGTCATTACTGTAGTAGGTGGTGACAAATTACTGGTTTTATGAGTATCAGGGATTTGTTCTGTCAGAAGCTAAACAGGTGAGTCTTTTTGAGTGAGCTATCCAATCATTCACTAATTCATTCAAAACCACTGATTCATTCATCAGCAAAACTAGTTTTTATGGCTGAACCTGGCCTTTTCATACTACTATTTTTGAAATGATAAGAGTAGTTTTGGTAGTATATTTCATATTCAGTCTCCATGGTGAGTTACTGAATCACTAAATTCACATTCCTGAATTCACTCAACCCATTTGTTCAAAAAGGCTGATTTATTTTGGAAGTAGTTCACCCAAAAATATTATAATCAATTTCTATACTATGGAAAAACAAATGTTGGGAGTCAATGGAGACCAGAAATTGTTTGGTTACCAACATTCTTCAAAATATTATCATCTGTGTTCATCTCAACTCATACAGGTTTGGAACAATCTATTCTTTTAAAAACACTGAATCATTCAGGAACAAAATAATGAAATTCTTATTTCATGATTTGTACTTTACTTGGATAACATTGAGAAAAAAGTTATTTTCTACTACTCCATCAAATTTCATATAGACCTTTAAAAGTAAATGTTTCATCATGGAATAGAAATTCAATTTTATTTAAAAAGGTAGACCGGAAGAGAAGATGAGTCGTTTTGAGGGGGAGGGGAGGTTAACGTTTTTGACAAAAGATTACAAGGGCACATGAATTTAAAAAAAATAATGAAGTGCACGGATAAATTATTTATAATAAACACTACAGTATTCCATTAAAAAAATAAGAATATTCAATTTTGATTTCATGCCGACTTGAAGTGAATTTGTGAATTACTTAAATGTGAAAATCTTCTCTATTTACAAATATTTTTGGAAAATAATTCAGTAAAATACTGAGAGTTCCTAATTAACTTAGTCCAAATATAATATGTGCTTTTACAGAAAGAAAACCTGATGTTGGTCAGCATATAGGGCACTAAACTCTAATCAAAGTAATTAGAGGTGCATACTATATGTCCTGAGGGAAATGTGGTTTCAGAAAAAGTCATTACGATTTTTAAATGTGTACATCTGTCTTTATAACTGTTCTGTCTGTGATTGCTTTTATTAATGCATTACAAACTGTAATTTTACTTTACCTTTACCTCTCTCGTTTTTGTTTTGTCTATCAATTTTTCTTCCCATTTCTCTCTGTCTCTGATGTAGGCTATGTGTCCTCAGAAATCCCTAGTTTATCTTAGTAAAATGTGCCTTTGTGCATTGTAGAGATTTATAACTCCTGTGTAACTCTGGACCCGGCTTGCTCTGCCACTCATGGCCAATTTCCTTAATTAGGTGTCTGCTGTTAATGTAAGCACAGTATGTGAAATATATCTTCAATAAAATTGAGTCTTTTGTGGGGTCTTGCTCGACTGAAGGGCAGGAATGATGTAGACAGAGTGTGCCGCCATAAGATTTAAGAGCATGGATTTACCAGGCTTTTCAATCTCAGCTTGTCTGTGCTGTTGTAAGGATGACCTTGCTGTTGTGAGTAGACTAGTGTGACCGTCACTTCCTGTAATGTCGAGTGAGTCCTACCGGATTGAGATTCCTCACAGCAGCTGAGATGACACGAGGTGGTGAGGAATGGCTCTCTGAGAGCCACGTGTCTTTTTCATGCACTGAGGAGATATTGACTGCTAAACACTGCACAAATAACTTTAGTGGCATCATTTATATATGACTTGATGCCATCTGTCAACAGAAAGTTAAGTGTTTTACCATCCAGTTTATTTATATTCTCCTTCATGCTCTCATTTTTATCCTCATTTAGCAAACAGGGTGGCATAGCAGCATAGTTGAGTACCTTGAGTTTTTAATGTGGTTGTGGCACATGGCCATCTACCCAATAACCAGCACTTAACTCTCTCAACATAATTAATTTTTTCATTGATTTCAGTCAGAGGTTGCTGTTTGCTAAGTCCACACTGGTCTGGATGTTTTAAGTGCTTATTTCTCTTAAAAAAAAACATGTATTATTTATTAAACATTTACACTTTGCTAAGGCCAAAGCACATTAAAATATTGTTTGAAAAAATATTTTAAATTTGAAAGTATATCTTTTTGATATCAATTTTTAGAGTGTTAGATGTATAAACCTGAACAGAAACATTTTCAATTCAATTCAGATTTATTCCTATAGCACTTTTCACAATAAACAGTTAATATCTTAACTTTGACTGCTCTACAAAAACACTTTATGTAAAAGCCTTTTTCGTTTCTCTCAGATTTTCTGCTGACGTCCTAGCACTCTTTTGTGACCCCTCAGTCCCCCTATTTTGAAAGCCCCTGATTTAAACAACAAAGATTAAACCCATAAAAGGTGAATAGGCCTATTATTTTTTGCTTTTCAGACTTTTCTCTCTGATTTTCTTTCCTTATCTTCCCACCATCAGTAAAGGTCAGTTTTGATCACTGTGATTATTCTTCTCTAGATTTAACCACAGTACTGAAGTGTGGCGAGCACTTATGTAAATTCCTTTTGTGAAGACATAGCTTTATTCTAAAAGAAAAAGGGGGCTTCTACAGTACTTTTAAGTATCAATTGTGCACATGTGCTTTTTCTCCATTTTCTCCTCTGAAAATTATTCTTGATGTGAAGGAAGATCTCTTTCATCCTGTCATTCATTTAAATCACAGCAGCTGCTTTTGCCTACTGGTAGCCTACTTTCTGCAAGTTTAAACAGTCATATTTATTTTCATTAGATAAGATTCCAGTTATTCACATTCTATCCACCTCAGCACACGGTTTCACATACTATGGAAAATGATTAGCTCACACCTGTTTGTCTCTTGAAATTTAATGCTTATACTCCCACAAACTTTCAAAAGGTCAAGCAGTGACCTCTGAAAAACAGACAATTTGTAAGATACTGGCAACGTAGCTTGTGTGCAACGGCTGATTTTACCTCCTAGAACTCCTAGAGGGGAAACTTATATTTAGAAGCTGCAGTAGGCTTTGAGATTCCGAAATGTGTCAGATGTGGAGGGGGGCTGACTATGTTCTCTGGTTACAATGTAGTGTGTGTAACTCAATACTGATCCATGTGCAATTCAGATTTTGGACACGGTCAGCTGCATGGAGCATGTGCTTCCCTCTTAGCTGGACAACATGATGGTGTGAGAGTTATAGAGGTGCATTTTGCTGTTATTTATGTACTGATATGTGGCCTGTATTCCCTATTTTAGCCATACTGTGTTGTGTGATTCTGATTTAGCTGTGCTGGTGGGGTCAGTGATTACTAGCTATTAGCACCGGCTGCTCTTTTGTCCACCCACATGCCAGATCTAAGCCATATCTCAGTGTCCAGCCATCAGTAGTCCTACACACAAACACAAAGACCTTTCCATGTGGGCACAAAAAATTCAATGCATTAATTCACTCAGACAGAATGAATAACACCCACACACAAACACACCCACATCCATGTCCATCCATGTCTTTCAGCAGCCAACAAATGAATGTCTCACACCCGAGGGACGCTCAAAGCACTGCGGCGAAATTCAAACCATCGATACATCATTCAAACTCCCACAGAGGGGGATGGTGGTTCACACTGTTGTTTAATGGGCAGGTGAGATAATTTTTTTTTTTAAACTAGGGAGAGAAAAAGTACAGGTAAATTCATAGATGTCTATGTGTACAGGACAAGATCAGAGTGAATTGTTTAAATAATCTGATGTATCTGAAGCACCAAATTGTAATCGCTACAAGGTTTTAGACATCAACTGGCATATCATAGCATGCACATTCAGTCACCATAGCAAAAACACACATATTGTTTGCTGGTTTTGTTTTACAGTTTAGAACTACTGCAATTGCTCAATCTACATAGTAATAATAATAATAAATTAAACAATCAGTTGCTGTTGTTTAATGCCAAATGGCTACAGAAAGGAGAGAGGAGAAATGTTTAATGTGGAAATAACAGTAAACAGACAAACAGTCACATTATTCTGAAGATCATTGAAAATATATATGTTACAAAAATGTATACAAATTAGGTTGTGATTGAGAGTACTCTAATTCCATTATAAAGTCAAGTGATTTTTCTTCCTTCAGGCTTGTTCAGTGAAGAGACCAGTCAGATATTCTCATTACTGTAAAATGTCTTCAGA